GTTCCTAGCCCTAATTACCTCTTTAACTACAATTCTTTCTACAATCTCTTTCCCTATAAGTCCTTAGATGTCCTTTTGCTCCTATAGGTCCGTAATGTAGACTCTAACTACTGTCCTCGGGGGTTTTAGCGCCTCCTAACTAGCTACTGCTATCTAGGTGCGGTAGTTTAGGCTTGTCTCCTATTGTTTCTTCGTAATCCTTGCTGCGACTGTATTAGCTACCTTTGTAATTACGTAGCTTGCCTAGTTGTAGATTGCTTTCAGTCCTCTAAGGAGTTCTAAGATTATTATCCTATATGCCCTCTTAGGGGTTCTTCTATCTTCCGCCTTTAGTACCTCCTCTGCCTTAGTATATAGTGCTTTCTATTCGTCCTCCCTTCCTTCTTAACTGTCTTCCCTTCGTCTCTAATTGTTCGCTACCATTCGTACTACTCTAGGCTTGTTCGAACTATATAATTTATCGGTTTTTAAGAAGTGTTATACCTACTATATAGTAATCTAAAGACTAAGAGCAACCGTATATTAATTAACCTAGGCTACTCTCGCGTTATTAACGGTACTAAGGTTAAGGGCTACGAGAACTTAATAGTCTCTTAGGTTGCTAAAGCGCACCGCAATCTAACCGCCCTCCTAGCCTCTAACTCCTTTATACTATTCGCTTTCCCTACGGCTATCTTAGTCGAAGGCCTCGGCTATATCTCCGACGCCCTAGTTAGTAGGATTCCTTAGTTAAGTTACGTTATTTAGAACGAAGTTAAATAGATCCTCTAGCCTAATAACGAAGGACTTAAGGAATATCTATACGATTAGGAGAATGCTACGACGGAAAAGGCTACTAACCTCCTCGTTAATTAAGCTCTCTATAAGGGATAGTACTTCGGTACTAATAGCTTTAACGTATACAGAGGAGATTTCGAGAGCCGACTAGCAGATAAGGTTATTGCTAGTAAGGATTACGACGCGTTAAAGCAATAGTAAGTCTATATAGTATTGCTTAGGAAGTTGTTTTTATATAATTATAGTATCTAGGATAAATGCTACCCCGGGGGTGTTATTACGGAGTTCTGAAAATAGCCTTAGCTAAGAGCGCTAAGGATGTATATATATTTGTTTTAAGCGCGCAATATAAAGCGTGTCTAGTTAGATACAAAGAAAGGGAGGGATATTAGCTAGTAACCGGCCCTATATCTATAGGCTAGTTTTAAGCCTATATAAGAGGCCTCCTTCTATAGAGTAGACAGATTATCAACCTCGTATAGTATATTGTTTATATCACACTTCTATAATGCCTATATTGTAGGGCTCTAGTTATTAGCCTAAGCGACAGTCTCGTTATCCTATCTTACTAAACATAGCTGCCTATATTGCTATAGGTCATATTACCCTCGGTAGCCTATACTATTGCTATAAGTAGTAGTAGTAGTGTTAGTTTCCGTCCTTTACTAACTTAAACTAACCTAGAATTTCGGCTTAGTAAACTAAACCAAACTAACCCGAACTACTACGGGGTATAGCAATGCTAGTACGCTAACCTACGATAGTATATAATACTATCTTAGGCCGACTATAGTAAACGTTTATAGCACTACTTAGGGCTGCCTAGTTAGCGGTAGCTAAATATTTTAGTTATAGTAAAACATACTTCTCTAGATACTATCGATATACTACTCGTCTACGCCGCGGACTATAGTAATAGCACGAGCCTTACTAGCGTCCTAGTCTAATATACTACAATTCGGAAATATAATATAGTCGGCGACCTTAGTATTAGCTAGAATTAGATCGTATAGCAGGTATACAAACTAGTCTTCTAGATATATACGATCGAGTAGCAAATCCTTATTATTAAACTAACCTATAAAATAGAAATAGGCACTAGTAGTAGTGCGATTGCTACCGACTTTAAAGTAGTAGACATAAGTACTATTACCCTTCCCGGCCTACTAGTACAGAAAGCCGATTATCTCTAGGTTATAGCCTATACTGTCCTATTTAGTATAGGCGAGCGGGTAGGTAATACCTAGCTAAAGCACCTATATCTATACGATTAGCTATATATCTAGCTTACTACGTTAAAAGTACAGCATAGCATTAGAGCAATTCGATACCAGTTAGAAACATACCTCGCCGACCTTAGTATACTAAACTAAAAAAGCGGGTTACTAGTAGATCCGTAGACTATACCCGATAGAATAGCACTATTAGCCGGAAAGCGGGTAAGTAGCGTATTATCTCCCGAGTAATACGAGACCTAATACTAGGCTACGCTAGAGATCAAGATACAGTTTAATATTAGTTAGTCGGTATATAGGCCTATACGGTAGTATATATATATATATATATATATATAAATCAAAATAGGGTAGTATTAAACTAGAGTACTACTACTTCTATACGTTTATATAATTCAATATATATAACGTATTCGACAGAACAGTATATAGGCCTTAGGGCGTTATAAGATACGTACTAGCGCTAGTATATAGCTAACTTAAAAAGAATACCTAAACCTACTTTTTAAAGACTATACCTTTATTCTATTAACAGTAGGGGATAATAACGCCCTACTGCTATAGCTAAAGACTAGAGAATAGGTATAGTACTAGTAGTAGCATCTGTCCTATATAAAAAACCAGCCTACTAGTAACGCTATAGTATAATATCAATCGGTATCTCTATGTCTTTTAGACTAAAACTAGCAGTTATAAAATTCTAGGTATCTATACTAAAAAGGACCTACCCGCTATATACTAGTTTTAATTATTTTAATCTAGGTAACTTTACTAATATAGCCCCTATTATTTCAAACTTTCTATACTAATTCGTCTAAGCTGTAGCTTCTACTACCTATATATCCTAGTATATATATAATTATTGTTAGTTTCTAGCTGTTAGTACTTATTAGTACTAGTATAGCTTCTATTATTCTTAGGATATAACCGCTAGCCTTTCGTTATCCCCCTTTTTTTTTAGTTAAGCTACCTTTGTTAGACTCTAGAAGCCTCGAAAGCAGTTACGATATTGTAAAGGGCAACCTATAGCTATAGTACGGCGTATACAGGAAGTTACGAGTGTAGAGAAGATTTGGCTATAGTTAGATTTTAAGTCTAACTATAGCCGGGGCTTTTAACCTGTAGCTAGTTCTATGCTTATATACGTGCCTATATAGGTAATAATCATCCTATATTTATCCTATGCCCGTGCCTATGCCTATATCTATGCCCTTATCCTATAAGGATAACGACGTTGTAGTTCTTAGTATAGTTGCAGGTATCGGCACTAAGGTTGCAGTCTGTTATAGGCGTTAGTATAGGGATTGCTATAGCTAAAGCTCTAGACTTACTCTTCTTAGCCTTCTTAGCCTAGCAACCTAGGTAAGGCACTATAGCCTCGGGGAACTCGGTACAGAAGTCGCGGTTAGCCTTAGTCTAATCAATCTATATAGGCGTTAGTATAGGTAAAGGTATATACGTAACTATTTATACCTTGCTATACTTGCTGCGCCGGACGACGAAGGGCCTATTTAAGTTAGTATATAACTAGCGGTATAGGCATAGATCGGCATATACATCTCGCTATTACTCTTAGACTTAGACTTAGTCTCTAAGTCTTCGATTGTCTCGGTAGATTTGGCCGGTACTTTACCCTTAGCTTTGCCCTTACTCGGTATACCTAGGGCGTCGGGGCTATATACGGATTAGTATAAGTAAAGGTAAGGGTAAAGATATAGCTATACTTAACCTCGTACAGATCCTAGGCATTGTCGAAGAAATCTAAGGGATATATTAGTAAATAGCTTTGCCTATAGAGCTGCCTAAACCTACTAATGCACTTTTTTGTCTTAGTCTTAGGCGTGTACCGACTACTACGGTCCTTCTCCTTAGGCTACTCGACTTTTCCCTTATACTATATATGCGTTAGTATAGGTAAAGCTCTAGGTAGGGAGCTACGTATACTATAGATAATGTGTATAGCGAGAGCCGTAGTGTCGCGGCAGATAGTCTATAAGGTATTAGCTTTAGGTATACGTATAGGCAAAGATAGAGTTATATACTATAGAAGCCCTTCTCTTCGTATAACTCCTTTAGCGTCTCTTTGTCTTTGTCTTTTCTATTATAGTATTAGTAATAACTAGTAATATAGGTATAATACTATATATACCTATCGCTATTCTTCTAGGTAGCTAGGAAGCGACCGAAGTTCTTAGATTCTACCGGTATACGACAAGTTACCTTACCTATATAGGTATATACGGCCTCCTAGTTAGTCTTTAGGCAGATCTATAGGCATTAGTTTAGCCTATTGCATAGGTAGAAGAGAGATTATATACTACGATTTCTATCTTAGGTATATTAAATAACTCGCCCTATAAGAGGCGCTTCTTGTATTTACGGTAGGAGCTCTATATAGATATAAGTATAGGTAGATATATGCCCTAGTCTCTATACTTACGGATTGCTCTAGTAGGGTATTATTCTAAGCAACGGTCTTAATGTCTTACGGCATATTAGGAGGTATATATAGAGCTATAGGCTTAGGTATAGTAGTATAGGGGAACTCGGTTAGCTACGATATCGAAGTCGCCTTATTAGCTCGTCGCGTATATATATAGGTATATATAAAGGAATAGGAGTAGGGGCTAGGGGTAGATACGTACTAGTAGTATATTATAGAAAGAAAGGAAGAGAGTATGCGCGCAAAGATGCGCGTATAGATATCGCGTAACGCTTAGCGTAATAGAAGATCCTAGCGTAATAAAACTTTCGCGTACGGGACGCACCCGCTTTAGCGTCTACGGATCCCTACATCGATAGTCAACTCCGCGTTTAGCGTAGTCAAGCGCACTTGTCTCACGCGCGGCGTGCGTGTCCGAGTCGTATTCGTCCCAACATCACTCGTCACAAACATTTCAGAAAGGGAGATCCCTCCCGATTCAGCAGTCACTACCACTCAACATCTTCTAGAACATCTACTGCATTCTCACAAGAACGAACACCAACCTAGACATCAAAAAGGTCAGCCAAGTCGTGTATCACGAAAATAGAAGCACGTAAGAAATCTACGCCAGCCAACGTACCGATGTACATGCTCGCGAGGTTGAAGTGGCTCGTGGCTTGCTGAATCAGAGCATCGACATACCCTTCCACGCTGAGCGGAACGCTCTCGCCTTTCAACAGGCCTTTCAGCTTCGTTGCCACGCTTTCGAGGATGTCTGCCGGCGTCTCGGGCACTCCAGCTGTGAATCTCTTCTTCTTTCCTCCCACGAAGTCCGTTGTCGGGTCGTAGAGGAATGTCTCAAGGACCGTCATCAGAGTGTCGCGTTCTTGTCGCAGCAGGCCAAGCGTCAGCTCCGAAGACTTCCGGAATGGTCCCTCGTAGCCATATGGTCCCATCGCGTCAACCATGTTGTGCGTCAATCTGAACGGCACCAGCTCCGGCTTCTCGAATGTCTGGCCTTTGTCAAAGAGACAGTTGAAATCCACATGGAACACTCCACCCGTGCTCTCTTCCAGCAGAATATTCTCGCCGTGACGATCTCCCAACCCGAGAATGTGTCCCACCATCGACATGACTGCTGCTGACCGAGAGTAGCGGATTCGTGAGTTGAACCATGTCTCGGGCTCCGGGTAAGTCTCGGTGAACCACTCATGCAACGCAGGCGTGAATTGCTTCAGCACCTCCTCTGCGAATATGTGCGCGTTCTCGTGACTGGCACATGCGCGGTCCAGGCTTTTCTTGATGTCGTTGTAATTCGGCCTCACGCCCTTGCGCGAGTAGAGTCCCAGGAGAATATCGCGGATAGGCTTGATTCCTTCCACCCACTCCAAAATTCCAGATTCTTCACTCAACGGCGTCACAGCATACGTCTTGATGTACAAGCGTCGCTTGCTGCTGTCGGTATTCCTCTTGAGCGCCCGGTTGATAATCCCGTTAAACTCCATGAGACGCTGGTCTTTCCTCAGGTCGTCCTTCGGCTTGCAGAGAAGTCCGTAGAGCCTGCCGTCGGAGCCACGCACAGTGATCTTGCGCGGCCGTTGCAGTGAGTTCAACACGAGGACATTATCCTCAAAACCTGCTATCGTGATCTTGTCTTGAGCAAAAGCCTTGTGCTTCCGGATCGTCTCGCTGTTGGATACGGCCGGCGCGGTAGCTGTCAAAGTCGCCTCCACCGGCACGACAAGGTTGCTCGGCGCAAGCTTGGCGTTGAACGACAGATCCTTGGTCAAGCTCACACCCGTAGCTCGGTTCTCGATCGGCTGCTCGCAAGCCAGCAAGAGGCCATCACAAAGCTTAATGCCCTGTGCGATGAGGCTGCGTAAATCGATGGCTGAAGCGTCGTTCTTCGGCTTGTTCTTGGGGTCTTTCAGCTTGTTCAATACCTCTTGGCCTCGATCCACTCTTGTCCGATCGGAAGATTTGACGACAGCAAGTAAGCTCCACAAAGTCTGACTGGGATGATTTGCAGCGATTCTGGTGAGGATGTTGCATATCTGCTTCCACACATCGGGATGAGGATGTGTGATCCGCGAAATCAATTGTGGCAAGGCGTGATAGAAGACGTACGGCGGTACCCGATCAAAGTACTTCTGCAATTGCTTGTTACAAGCCTGGAGCGATCTCACTCGCTTGTCGAAAGTGGCCTGTTCATCTTTCGGCGTGCGCTTCTCCGCATCCATCCCGAGCTGGAGCCAGAGAGTCAAGATACGCGGAATGGTCTCATGCCAGTATTTATTGCCGAATGGTATCGATCGCAAGGAATTTTCGATCACAAGTTTGGTCAGATCTCCAGTCAAGAACGCTTGGGTCTGCTTGTCCCGAGGAAGCGCTTTCTGAGCCTCAAGCAATTTGGTGTAGTGTTTGCCCAGGTAGTAATGACCTTTCTCCCATCGCTGATGGCGGCGAGCGGCGAGCTGGTAGCGGTCCGTCATATCTTTGGTTTGACTCTGGCCAGAAGCGTCAAGCCACTTTGCAAGTAGAAGCATGGCCTTGCCAGCCAGAGGGTTCTGCTTGAAGCCATTGATTTCGCTGAGGTTAATCGACAAGTTGCCATCCGTCCTAGCTTCAGATGATGTCTCTTCTCCATCAAAGATTCCAGAATCGATAGTAGCTTGCAGAGACTGTATGGCTTGACGCTGGTGTCCCTCATGCCAGAGCAGTCTTGCTTCTTCGATCTTGGCGCCTTTATCCTCGCAATCGTACGCTTTCAGGACTGCATTATATGCACTGTTAATGTTCTTGGACTGCCTAGCCAGTCGAGCAGTGGCCAGCCATAGAGCTCCGGCTTTATTTTGCGAGTACGATTCGGGTCGCAAGCGCATCGCTGCACGACGAATGCCAAGAATGTACTGCTTGTCGTGAACATATGCCCCGACAGCATTCAATCTCTTCTCAAAAGTCTTCATCAGAGCTGATGAACCATCTCGATCAGTCGCCATTAATGCTTCCATCTCGTAAAGAACGTGCAGTTTGACCATTTCAGAGTGACACGTCTGGAGCGAATCAGTGGAAGACATAGACAAACTCTCCACGATCGACTGTCTTAGACTCTTCACTTCGTCATTAAGCGACTCGCGCGCCTCCCCGGCGGCGCGTACCAATGAGCGTCCGATGCCTAGGTTAAAGTCGAGTGATTCGTCTCTCGGGAGCAAAAGAAGCCGTTGCTCAAGACCGCAGAAATCTTGAGTCATCCAGCATGCCTCAGCAGCCAAGGGAAGATGAATTCTGATAGCATCGTGCAAAACGTCCGGGTCCTGGCTTGCATCTAGAAAGCTATTGGCGTATCTGAGCAAAGGTGCGTACTGGCCAGTCTCTTGTAGACATCTCAGAAGGTCATGTTGTAGGTCAGTGCGTGTTGGATTATCTGCCAGCTGTAGCTCGTACCAAGCTTGAGCAGCAGTCCAGCGTCCAGCCTTGGCATGATTGATGGTTTGCTGTTCTTCAGTTACAAGTGGTAGGTGGGCCGCAATGCCCTCCAAGCCGTCGGGCTCATCAATGTGACCGTAGATGTCCTGGAGTCTTTCATACATGAGCTCTTCCTTCTCGCTTTGTTTTGCAGTTGGGATGAGGGGTGACTGTCCAGGAGGAATAGAGCGTGATCGTTCCTGCCGAATGTGCTGCTCCCAATGGAAGAGAGCTCGTGCATAAGAGCGACAGTCCATAGCCTGGTCAGCGATGATCGCAGCAGGAATCGAAGTCAAAAATCTCTCCACGGTGTCGATTTGTCCCATATCTCTCGCTTCGTCGAATTCGTTAGGGGAATGCCCAGTCTTGTATGCTGCAGCCCTCGTTTCGCCCAACTCTTTCCGCTTCTCTCTCAGCCATGTAGACATGTAATCCAGCACTGCAAAGACACTCTCGCTGCAGAGTTGAATGGTTTCTTGTTGACTAGAAGAGGAAGGAGAGGACTTGAGCACGCTCATGAATTCTTCAACCAGCTGTTGGAACTCGGTCTCGGTACCACCAATTATGACATTCAATGCAGCGTAGGGGAAGACAAAGCGAGCGATGCCCAGATCGTTTCCACGAATGATTCTTGCGAGAAGCTCGAATATTGCCTTTGCATTGTCACCTTTGCCTTTAAACATGAGATCGTAAGTGATGGATCTCAACCAGTGTCCGTGGCTGTCATCTGCTGAGAAATTCGGATATGAGCGATTTGGTGCGCTTGGAGTGCTGCCACTGCTGACCCGATATTTGGACGTCAAGAGCGGCGTCAAAGTGGTGCGAACCTGCTCGGGCATTTCGTTCCAGCGATTGAAAGCTCCAGGTACCTGTGAGGATCGTGGACGCAAAGCGGCGACTTCTGTGAAGTTGCAAAAGCCAAGTAGCTCTTGCATGGTGTATGCGACAAAGCCCTGCGCACGTGCATTGGTGACCGATTTGAAGGATTTTACGAGAACGTCCTCCAGAAGAGAGACCACCCAGTCAATGACTTCGCTTGCTTTGTCAAAGTTGGACAGAACTAGAAGATTTCTCTTCTTCCGGGAAGCTTCGACTCTGTTAGGGTCCAAACAACCTATAATGCCGAGTGCCTTGCCGCACTGTCTGGCGACATGCACATCTGTACTTGAATGCTTTACAGTTGCGTCAAGAAGCGCACAGAGAAGGTCCGCCAAAACAGGCGATGGATGCTCGCTCGCTGCTGTATCGTGAACGAAATCTTGATTCTTTTCAAGGAAGGGCACCAGCTCGTGAATAGCCTGCAAAGTGACCATGCCGCTGTCATCTTTTAGGCGCTTTGCAAAGGCTTTGCAGTGACTTTCAACGCTCTCCTGAATTTTGAGTCGCTCGAACTCTGCGGCAAACTTGGACAGGAGGGGGATTCCTTCGAGCGATGGTAAAGTCATGATATTTTCCTGAAGCATAGTGTTGTGGGATTTGACCAGTTGTTCGAGCATCTCATGTGTCTTTCGCTGAAGATCAGGCGAGATCGCTGACCAATATCGGGCAATGAGCACGAACGTTTCGTCGACAATCTCGGGAATGTCTTCATCCTCCAGTACAGGTATCATGGTGAGCCAAGCATCGTATGCAACCTCACACAGCTCTGGCTGTTCCAAACCGGAGTGCAAGCAGGACCGTATTTGAGGTAAAGCGAATGAGAGCTTGCCCTTGCCCAGTATCAGCATATCCGCTAAGCCTTTGAGACACCTGATTTTCTCGGGCGTTGACTCTGCCCCGGAAACATTCTCCAGCACTCCTGAGAAATGCGTCAGGATTCCAAGAACCTGGTTTTCAAGAAATTGGCTGACAGCCTTAGAGGATTTCGAGTGGGCCTTGCGCTGACCTGGAGCTCTCTCGACAATATGTGCCAACGTCTGGAAAGCCTGGTAAGCTCTCGACTTCCTTTCCACGCCCTCGTCTCCGCATAATTTGAGCATTTCACAAGCCACCAACACAGCATCGACTTTGACCAGACTTCCAATGTCCGCTTGTCGAAGTTCGGGTGCCACCTCCACCAAGCAAGCGAAGGCCGAGTCTTCTGCATCACTTGCTGATTGCGAAAGTAAGAGTGCGAGAATCGAGGCCAGGTTGGAGATTGGCTGCGTGCAAATGTCATAGATGGTACTGCCATTTCCACGGGCGCGAGCGATCCTTTGTAGCACGTCTTTCTTCTTGATTAGAACCAAGTAAGGCAAGGTTTGTTGCTGAGTCAATATGAGGAAGGCGTCTACGTCCATGTTCAGCAAATCGCACAGCTGTTGAGTCTTTTGCGGTCTGCTGTGGAGATCTTGCACCACCGTAACTGCTATCGATCTCCAGAATGGCGAGAAGAGGTCTTTCGGCGCTTGACCTCGAGCTGCAGCTATAAGTTCCATCTCATTGAAGGCAAGAGCACAGACCAAGGGATTGCTGTGCCCAAGGTACTCTACCAAGCGCAGTAGGACCAAATTTAGCTCCGCGTCTTCGCAAGACAAGGCTACTTGGCCCCAAGCGGCGATGAGGGTCTCTTGCTCGTTGGCAATGTTGCGATCCGAGAGCTTACGGAGCCACTCTAGTGCAAGTTGGCGATTCTGGCTTCGAATGCTTTCCGGCAAGCTTTGACGCAGAAAACATGCGATGCTTTGTGCAGCGGCAAGTCGTAGCTCTCGCAGCGAGCTTTGAATGGCGTTCAGCACGTGGTTTCCGAAAGATGATGACGCCAGTGAGGTGCACACAGGATCGGAAGAGCGCTCCACGCAAGCCCGAACGGCCAGCACAGACAAGATTCTTGGTCGTTTTGTATCGTGTAAATCTCGAACCTCGAGCAAACGCGAGATTGTACCGATTGCTGCATCAAGCTCGACCTCCGCCAACTCTGCCAAGACTTGCCAGGCTGTGCATTTTTGGTCCTCGCTCAAAGTCATGTAGACTGAAGGAGCAACATCTGGCAGAGCAGACAGATCTGCTGTTTCCACCACTGTCAGATGTTGGGCAGCGCGTCGACAGATCACGGCATCCCTTGCATCAGATCCGTCTTCAGACACTCTCCTGCGCTTCCGCAGCCTTGGACGTCGACCTGGGCAGCCTTGTGCGATGGCCAAGTGTTTAAAGCTGGTCTCGAGGTCACCATCTGTCATACTGTCTTCTCTGCGCAGTGAATCTCTCAAGGTTGCAATGTGGTCTGGTGCGTCTTCTTGTGTCTCGAAATGGCCATACCAGGTCGCGATCGCAATTTTAAGATCTTCTTGCATCCCAGCCCAATGTTCGCTGCTGGTCATTGAGCGTAGAGCCGTCAATATGGCGTCCTTTGCAAGATGTGCATTTTGGCCCAGAATATCCAGAAGCGCAGAGGCCAACATTTTCTGATTCGAAGCTGAAAGCTGCAGCGTATCGATCTTTTCGATGAGGGTTGCGGACAGGGCCCAATTGAAGGGTGCGTGCAAAAGCTGCTCAAGCGCTCTATCCCAAAGCTGCATCCTGAGCAATCCAGACCTGCGGCCCAGTAGAACTTGCTGTGCGCGAAGATATGCATCCTGCCGCCAGAATGCGTCTAATGCTTCGACTTGAAGGATTTCCAGGGCAACCAAAAACGCTCTGGTGGGGTCGGAAATGGAGGTAGTGTTTCCCTGCGGCATTGTGATACTATTCTCTGTATTCGAGCACAACTTGGAAAAGGACCTAGCCGGTGGCAATTTCAAGTCTATGCCATCGTTTGATGTTTGTGATTCAACGCAGATGCTGAGAATTTCTGTGAAATGAAATGAGCCAGAATCCACTTACCAATAAAGATCCACATACCGTCCACACAGTCCTGCAGCACGCTTCTGAGTACAAACACCTGCTGCCAGAGGTCGAGAGACGACCCCAGAGACGACAAGAGCGATTCAAGGAGCCTTCGAGAGGGCACATGCTCGCACTTTGGACGGCCACAAATGCCGATCAATGCAAGCAGAATAGTCAAGACGAGAGGTGGCTCGCTGGGAGACTGTCGAGCCTGCAAGACTTCGGGCTGCCGCGAGACGGTGGTCTCGATGACGGCAATGCTGTCCGCAGCCTGCTGGAGGAGAACATCCCAATCTGCGAACGGATTGTCGGCCGTCAGAGGAGTCAGACCAGCCTGGACCACCACGCTCACGAGTTGGGCGTTGACGTTGACATCTGGCTCCTGGGCGCCTTGATTGTGCAGTATTTCGTGCAAGAGACCTCGAAATACTGCACTGTCGTCCTTGGGCTGGCTCGTTGGCGGTCGAGTCTGGTTCTGGACAATTTGTGCTGCCAAAGTAGACGGCGGAGGCCCGTTGCCATTGGCATAGGAGCCATGTGTCGTCGAATGAGTTCGGCGAGCCATGTCGCCGGCGCGCTGAGATGTATCAACGCATTTCGTGTGTTGATGGAGTCAGGCAGATCGGTGTCTCGCGAAACGCGGAGAGGAAGCGCGCGCTTCGGAAGTTCGGATCTCGGCCGGGCGAAGACGGGAAGTGAACCTGATTTTGAACTCATGAACGGTGTCTCACGATGCTCACAATACTCTCTGTTCGAACATACTCCGCCACAGCCTGAAGTCGTCACGAAACTCTTCAAACCCAGCGAATTAGTCAATTACGACGCTCAAGCGGCCGAGCGAATCCCAATAAGTTGACGCAGTTATACGCCATTCCACTCATCATGCCGGTTTTCCCATCCAAAAAGTTCCGGCCTGCATCCTACCAATCGACAATCGCAGCACGATATCGCGCAGCACTTGCACGGCATCCTTTCGCGCTATTCGGTCTCCCATTCATAGCCACCATGCTGCTTGGGAGCTTCTTCCTCACCCCCGCCACAGCCCTGCGATACGAACGACATGATCGGAAGGTCAGGCAATTGACGAAAGACGAGGAGCTTGGCCTAGGGAAGGATAAGAGGAGGATAGACTTGAAAGAGGAGTACTATGTGAGTCGGCAATGTAGGTATCATTGGTGTGACACCAGCTGATAAGAACCCAGAAATTGGCTGCTAAAGATCTCGACAATTGGGAGCAGAAACGTGTGAAACGACTCCCAGGCGAGCACGACGGCGTGTTTTGAACTTCTTTGAGACCCACGCTGCAGTATGACGACACGTAGAACGAGTTCATGATGACCTGAGCAGTACACAAACTCAGTATCAAGGCGCATGACGATTTCTGCGGCGCCCTCTCGATGAGACCCGGCAGCGAGGCCAACGAGGCTTGGACGTTATCCCACGAAGTCAACGCCAGTCGATGGCGCGATTTTTCAATAAAGCGCCGGGTCTCGGCATTCTGGCGATCGAGCCCGCACGGTAGCGGCACCGAGAATGCTTTCGAGACCTCAGAGATTGCATGAAGCAGGTCTCGCAATGCGGTCAGCTCACTTGGCCTATGAATCCTCTGGCATTGCTTCAAAACTTCCCGGACATACTCTTCTCGCCATCTAAAGTGTACTGTGTTTCGTAGCCCCTACATGGTAGAGGGCTGGGCAGATTCGTGGACGCCTGTAGAGAGTCTGTCCACAAGAGTCGGACGGTCGCGATCCTCTATCAAATTTGTGACTGTAACTTCGACTGGGTGCAAACGAAGAAGTCTGCTTCCTCAGGCCAGGGTTTTGCGAATCGAGACTTGAGAGACAACATTGTTCTTTGGCAGACTCGAATTCTAATTCACGGCAGAAGATAGTCCGGCTGAAGCAGTACTCAGGTATAGAGGAGAGGATATAGCTGCAGCAGTGAACAGGGAAGTCGTGTTGGCGAGCATGGCTGCTCTCGCAATACTAGCTGTAGTGGCCATTTGACGTTCGTAAGCTGTCCGTCAGAACCGGTTCTTCTTGCAACTTGACATCAGCAACCCACCGTATGGAGCGACTTGTTAGCCTGTGGTGCTTGCCATTCTAGCAAGTGAAACGCTGATGCACTAGCGCGACTTCCTGCTTGCTAGCCAGCGGGCTTCATCGATGCCATCACAACAAAACACCACCTCAAATGACGGGGCAGGCGACCAAGTCCCACAACCTCGACGGTGAGTGTCGCTGGCGCCTTGGATGACATGCCATCGCTGACCCAGTGCTTCATAGATGGCCCCGCCATTTTCAAACATCACAGCTGCGGAGAGAGTCTTCGGCATCGTCGAACTACTTGAGAAAATCATGCTCACATTGCCACGCTGCGATCTCTTCACCGTACAGCGAGTCAGCACCACCTTCAAAGACACCGTCCAGCAATCGCACAAGCTACGAGATGAGATGTGCAAACCACTCTGCGCAGCACCAAGCAAGAACGGCGAAATGTTCTTTCTCCCCAGACCCATTCAACGCGCGACAATGGCATCGTTCTTCATCGGTTTCCACCAGATCGGAAAGTACCGTGGCTACGACTCCTGCATTGACTACGTCTTCCAACCAGACTATCGTTCGTCTTACCTTCAAAAGAGATTCTTGGCTGGCCAGGATCTTGATACGAACGAGTCGTGGCGTCACATGCACTTCTCCAGCGTCAAGGGAAAAGTGAAGATCATTGTTTGGGCGCATTGTTGGGCGAAGCTGGGAGATATCGTTGTGGAGGAAGGTGTAACGCTTGGTGAAGTGGTCGACAAGGCTCGGGCAGTCCTCATACGTGCTGCGGAAGGGAGGTGCGAAATTTCTCGGGCTTGACTGACAGCTGGAATGCATTGCTGTGACCACTCATATCCTCTCAAGTCTAGAGGATCTGGAAAGACTGGGAGCGTAGTGGCTTATCCTCGCTGGCAGAGGGAGAGAACTTGAATGATTTTCTGTGCGACGATTGTGTCCCGCTCAAGGGGAATCTTCTTCTCGTAGCGGCGTCATCTGCCATCATCAACATGACAATCGTCGGCGCATCTATGACTGTCAAGCGGCGCTGCAAAGCGTGGCCTTCGGTAGTCTGCTCATTAAATCCATTTGATCCAATGGCCATGTCCCGAAAGTGGTACGGTCCAGGGTCGCGTTCGCGCAGTTTGAAGGAGACTTGGGGGGTTGTCTTATACATTCGTAACACGTAATAAGGAATGCGAGGAAGCAAAGAATGGCTCGCCACCGAAATGTGGCCATTGCTTCAGGCTGGGAATCGCGTGTGTGTGGAGAAGTCGCAAGCAGGCTGGAGGATACAAAACAACATCGACCACGAATATCAAGGCAAAATGCCGCCTCTCATACCCCTTGATCTGCAACATCCTCGCTCAGCAAGATGTGCGGGTGCCCGGCAATCCCGCCCTGCAGTGGCCTCTAATCACACTAGCCTGTAGAGACCGACCACGATTCGCAGTTCCTGGGCACGAGGATGCACGACATCGCGGCAGTCCTAGACCCCGTTGACAGCCAAAAGCTTGTCTCGACATGCATCGCGTTAGACCGCCATCGACACGAGCCTAACAAGAATCGGCATTGCCAGATCGAGACCTGCGAAGGGCCAAGAGATACTTATAGAAAGGCAGCTTGACTTCTTGCTTGAACCTCACTCCTTGATGAGAGCGCATACCATGATGTGTTTCGGAGCATGAAAGTGCTTCTCCAGACGTTCTCGTATATATATGGTCCCCGAGGCGAGAATGGAGGAAATTCAGCTCGCGATGGATCAGGATGTTTTGGCTTTCGTCTCCTCCACAGTGTCAACTCGCATGTTTCTGGGCCCTCGGACGTAGATTGGTGAAGGATCCAAGTCCGATTCTGGAGAAACGATCTCAGCCTTCAACACAAGAAGCGTGCCAGTGGCTCCCTGCAACACGCATTTGCCCATGCTCCAACGTTCTATGCACGTGTCGACCTGCTGTCTCGACTGTCGATCCATGGTCTACGCAAGCCAAGTCACATCCCATTCACCCTTTTGCCATTGGCGAGGCAAAGCATGCGCGGTGTACAGCTTCCAGGCTGCTCGTCTACGGCAGACTTGCCCCCGGCGAAATAGAATACTCCATGTAGCCGAACATTACCCCGGACTTCAGCCTTGTGCGATGATCTCACCAGCAACAGGGAAATTGATTGCTGTATCATGGATTCATGAGGAGAGCCGCTTCAATCTCGGCCGCAATCTCGTCGGATCGTCTCGAAGACAGGAAGACGTCACGAATGACGTGCGCAACAGAGTGCAACAATGCCAACAGTGCTGCTGATCACGACAATGTCTGCGAGGAGAGAGGCTGCGAGCAGTCTGGTTCGTAGCAAGGATCCCTGCAAACCCTTGTTGTGTACGGGCGGGCTTCCGGGTTGTCTCGGCTCAATGGTCCCTTCCTGGTGCTAGGACGACATCAAGTCCGGTCAAACAAGTCCAGATGCCCTTCAGGAACACATGATACCTACTTCCTGGGACAGGCTTCGGCAGAATCACAGGATTTCATCATCGGGGCATCAGCGCGGGCTTTCTAAGGGGAAATTGTTGTCCGCGATACCACGATGGCTATAAGAGCCTCGTAGATAATGAGCTTCATTGTTTGGGCTGCTCATCCGCTCGTCAATGGTCACCCGAATCTCCACAGGTGCATCGCTACTTGACACGATACAGGAGTCTTCCAGAACGCGAAAGGCTGAACGTGTAAGACAACTGCTGCAAAGACGGCAACATTATTCTAACGGACTCTGAGCAGCATTGGCACCATGTGCTTTGTGAATATGATCACCTGGCTAGAATGTGGACACTTCCGCGTGCTCCATGAGATGTGTGCAGATGCTGCCCAGAGCAAGCCTCCCAAGTTCTGCCTCAGTGCTCACGAACCTGTCGCTACCGACATTCCTCGCACGGCCGGCGTCTGCCCCGATGTCCAGAAGCATCCATCACTTCCTGAGCAAAGCAGAGCTCCATCGATCATGGGCATCACAACGACTTCGGGACGAGGAAATCTTCGGTACCGAAACAGCGGGTAGCGACGACAGCAACAAGCATGGACACGCGACTCAGCCTAGTGGAGAACGAGTCAGGATCTTGAGATTTACAAAGGACGGAGACGACTTTACGAATGATGAACATGTTGGAACTGTTAGCAGATTGAATCAGAGCACGCAATCAGCAGCCGCGGATCCAACGTGACGCGTGAGAAGGAGCAAGCAAAGAAGATCGATGATAACCCGGACGGCGCCGTGTAACCTACAACATGGCGAACTTTGCAGTTTATATAGCGGAATTCAAATATGGCATCGCAGTGGTAGGATGCATATGCAAAGAAACATCCATTGCCGCGTTTCAGACGATGGACACAGACTCACAATTGTAAGCTTAGGTTGAGCTCCGTGTTGAAGCGTCGACGCATGGTCCCACTTTTGCAGCTTTCGAAATGAATCGCGACCTGCTCAACCGAAAAGAAAAAAAAACTTACTGCTTAGATAACTTTGCCGATATGCGAGATGCTTGTTTGGGACCTGCACGACTCACGGTCAATAATTCAGCTGTCATTACCTATAATTGCGGCTCCTGAACTTTGCATGAGAGAAAAGTGAACGTCAGCGAAATGCCATTGACCTGTCCGCGACTACAACTGCCCGAGATCTAACGTCAAGACAGTAGCGAAACAGCGACTAATAAGAAACACTGGAGCAAAATCGCACAACAACACCTCCAAGAATCCACTCCCGATCGGAATGATCTCAATGCGGCAGCAGATCCCCCCAACTCAAGAACATGATCCCCAAGCAATAATGACCGAAGCAGAATTCTTCACGCTCTGCAATCTAGACCAGACTTCCGAGCGAGGACAACAGACATATCACCTCATGAGGGTAAGCAAGACACCATCCACGCCCATTCGAAACCCTAGCTCACCCGCCGCCCTTCCCTCAGCAAGAAGCAACCGCGGGTCTAGATCGAATGACCTTGACCGCGAGATCCACGCCTGGAACTACTGAGTTCAATGGACATACGATTCTGGCTTCGATGCTGTCGGAGGCGGCGATACAATTTGAGATTCAAAGGATTTGGCAGTTTGCACTTCCCGAGACGAGGGATGTGTATGAAGGTGGGAGGATGGGGAATGGGAATGAGGAGAATTGGATTATCAGGTGGATGCTGTGGAGGGAGATTGTTATTAGGAGGGATGGCTTGGGTGATTGATTGATTGATGGGGGGGATTTTGTGTATGGGTGGGAAGGGAGGCTGATGTGGTGGTGGTGAGGTTGCGAGTATCAACGGCCACGAGACGTCTTGTGTAAGTATGGACGCTGGTGCTTTTCGGGGATTCAACGTATCAAACACCTCGGTATCAACTGTTGATTTGAAAGCGTCCTCCGAGTTAGCGAGCCTCTTGTGCCATTTAGGATCTCATGAAACGAATCCACCAGCGGTATTAGTCGTCCAGTCGTGAGAGCTGATATGGGCAGGTGGCAGCTCTCTGTACGCAGTCTTGTTGATTGCCATCGGCGCCTAGACTCTCGTATAATGGAAGTTCAGGGAAGGTAGATCATTAGCGAGAGACTTGCAAGTCGAGGCAGACGAGCACTTTTCAAGCAGCTCGACGACACCAAGTGCTTTGGAGTTTACGCACGACGGGTTTGAGTTAAAGCGATACTAACCTCTCTATTGTGCTAATCACGCCGCTGGAGACTCGACCCATGTGCTATGTGTATTCTAGAAATTTTGCGAATGTCTATGCTTCAGTCGTTCATTTCCTCGTTAGCGAATGCTCCCGCATGAAGAGGACTGAGAAGGGAACTGTCGATGTGTTTCCGACTCGTACACTTTGCTACAGCACATCGCTGACCAAGAATTGACAATGGGATCGATGAGATATCGTGGCATTGGTCTGCATATCAAGTTCTGGATGGCCATCTCTATGTGTCACATCGCCATAAGATACTTTTGAACCCTCTGATGCTTCTTCTCCCGGCCTGCTCTCAGATCTCACGACCAAGCTCATCTCAATATCCCATGCGTATCTCAAACAACCGCTGACCTACCAGGCAGTTCTTCTCTGCCATTACTCAGGCATCGAGAGTCCGGTTGAAGACTTGTTCGAGAAGACTGTCCAGCAGAATGCCTGGGGCATCGAGGAACACGTAATCGTGCTCTCCCTCGGGCATCTTCTCTGGCACAAATTCTCGGAGTTTCCCAAATGTGAAGCCGGTTCTCCTCTGTTGACCAATCTAATGCAACAACTTTACCAAAATCCATAGTGTTGGCGGATATAAAGACGACGTGGAAGGGCGGCTGCGTGACGTTATCGAGCTCTGGGCCTTGTCGTAGCAAGTCTTGGATCATTTTTTCGGAGAAGGTGTAGTAGCTCCCAATTTGCGGTCGTGTCTGGAATCCTCCTCCCCAGGTTTGGGGTCTTCTTGATTTTCTGATGTCGCCAAGGCGTGGAGGATACGTGTAGGGGACCTTGAATGCGGGATGCTGCTGTACAATTGCCAGGCTACACTGCTCGTGAGTCTGGCTGTGCGCCAGCGACAGCATGCTACGCTGCTCGTGAGCCTGGTTGTTCGCCAGCGACACGATCTTCAATCCGCTGTACTCCCAGAAGTTTTTGACACTGCCTACAACCGCTCTAGTCGGCTCGATAGGCTCGAGGAAGCAGATCTGCCGAAGCTGCTTCGAGGTCGCGATGACTTCTTTCCAGTCCTTACAGACGCGTTTGAGTTTGGTAATGTCCTTGACGTCAAGATTGACAAGTATCATTTCGAGCAGCTCAGTGACGCAAAAGGTGCGGCTTGCAGCACTACGGTCGGCCATGTTGATCCTTGAATAAAACAATCAGTATAGGCCAGCGCGTAGAAGATCAGGACAAATACCTTATTGAGCTAGATTACGACTATGCTTATCGACCTTGGTAGCGAAATTCGTAGTAATCCAGGATAAAGTTAGGATGATTGAATCGAAGGCGCTATCAAAGTAGAAAGCGCTATCAAAGTCCAAGGCGCTGTTAAAGTCCAAGGCGCTATTGAAGTTGAAGTCGAAGTCGAAGCTCGAAGTCGCCATTTAAGTCCAAGTCGCCAGACCCTGAACAGGGATAATTGCGCTAGCGCGGACTGTCAGCTGTCAGTGAAGTGAAGTTGGAAAGAGCTACCTCAGTTGATCGCGAAATCCCCTCATCCAGCGCATATGGGCAATGCCAGCAGCAATATCAGATACAGAGGTGGCACTGCACTGCGGACTCGAGAGGACAGAATATCGACAGCGCTAATTTAGCACACTGAATCATCTTTGATATTAACACATACCGCTTTCAGTGCCACTGAATGCTTATATAAAGTCCGTGCTAGTTCGACTGCATGCATCTGGCTGCTTGGTTTATGACTGTCCGTCGACAACATCAACGACAGTGCCCGATTCCACAGCGGCCGTCACTGGCGTGGAGGCACCGCTCTCCGCCTTCGCCTCCTCCGTCTTCTTCTTGGCAGCGAGTTGCCAGCTAGGTATGGCAGCCTTGCCACCTAGCAATCTGCTATAAGGAGTCTGCGATCGCTCTTGCGTGGAAGTGGCGGAGAAGGCAGACATTGAATTATTGCTCGACTGCGAAGATGTCGTGCTTGAACCGTTGCTCGTGCTGCTGGTCGTCTCCGCGCGAGCTGGTTGCTCTGGTACCGGTGCACTTTGCTGACCGGCACTCACGCCATTGACTGGGCCTCCACTGCCAAGCACATGTCCATTCGTTGGCGGTTGTGAAGAGTACGATGGCGGTATTCGAGATTGCGATGGTGGTGCTCCGCCACCTTGCATTCTGTTCCCAACCAGCGTCTTCAAGCTTTTCATTTCCGTTACGAGGTCCTTCAACCTGCCATCCTGCTGTTCTCTTTCCTTCTCCAATGCTCTTGGAATGCTGTCCCTGACTTCGGCCAATTCTCTTGCTATTCTCTTCGACTCCATTTCGCGATCTTCATTCGCTTGCTTCATGCGAGACACTACAGCTTCCACCTCCCCTAAAGCTGCATCCAGACGTGACTTTCGCTCAGACTCTGCTTCCTTAAGCTCTCTCGTGTCAGTGGAGAGTTGGTCCAGTAATGCGAAGGCTTTTTCAAAAGAATCATCCATAGACTTCTTGTCTGCCTCTAATTGCGGAGGTGTTGGGGGAGCGATCAGAGGGTAGACATAGCGTTTCGCGGTCCAGTACATTGCGTAGCCCACGATTCCCATCACATTCGCAGCGATGAAGTAATCTCGCCAGTCTCGCTGCGGCTGCGGGGGTTGCGGAGGAGGCCATTGGGGTGGGTAACCTTGATTATAGTATGGTTGCTGGTATTGCTGCGGAGGTTGTCTGTACGCTACATTTGATGCCGGTGCGGCCAAGCCGGCGCGGGCGAGGGATACATCTACTTCTTCTTGGGTAAGACCCTTTGATTTGAGGAAGTCGATTCGTTGTTCAAGAGGTGCTTGCGCGGATTGCTCGTCTTGTAGGACTGCCAGTCATTAGTATGGGGTGGTTTGCATGGCAGCGTGAGAGTAGACGAACAGACTAAGGCATCTTTGACGACGCCCTCGCGGACCGTCATCTCTGCTGTGAGCCACCAATCTCAAGACCTTGAAGTAGAGAGTCCTGCTTATTTCTGTGTAGCACAGTAGAGTCTGTTGTAGCGAGTAGACAGTCGCGCGCGCGTGATGAGCAGTAGCAGTAGAGAGAGCGTACATGCAGATCCCGAGGTTCGTCGTCGGCCCTCCCAGCCTTCACTTGGCCCCACCTGAGAAGCTTGGCATGACGGCCCGGTCTCCGCTTTTCCGTGTGATCCTGGAAGCATGTTTGTTTACTTTCGCGTCCGCCGCTGGGCAACGACATCCCGAATTTCATACATCACTCACAACCGGCCATACACACTGCGATCGCTCAACAACTGCCATTCGTAATGAGACAGTAGATCAGTTGCGACATATTGCCCACAGATACGAAACTTCTTGGACGTTGCGCCGCTGGGAAACGCGCGGCGATAGAGTGCGCAAAACCCAAACCATGTCTGCGCAGAAACGAATGTCGCAGGAACCAGGACTGTTCAGTGTGCGAAGGCAGCGCGAATCGCTGGCGCCTCTCAGTCACAATGCAACTACTGGAATACCAATGCCAGCCAGCGCGATGAAACGATCGAGTTCGGGACTTGGACAGGTGCCCGCAACGACAACGCATGCGCGCTCGACATCGGGCTCGAGGATGAGTCTGGCGCCAGGGCGGCCGTCTCAACCAATGTTCCACAGATCATCTTCTGGCGACAACTTGGCAGGAATGGGCTTTTCTACAGTACAGCGACCGAATACACAGAACTTCTTCTCGAGCACAGGCGGACGGAAGAGCTTCGCGCCTGTTTCGAGCACGCCAGCACATCCGATTCAGTTCCAAGATACCGCGAGGCGAAGCAGTGTCTACAGTGCACGACCTTCAGCAGGATTAGGACCTGCAGGACATCAGAGCTTCTTCGCGACTGCTCCGCCTGTCAATGGCATCCCCACCGACCCACGACGATTACGCGACAAGCAGGTGCAGCAGGTGATGGGAACGGAAATCATGGAATTTCTTACCCAACGCAATTTCGAAATGGACATGAAGCACAGCTTGACACACAAGACCATGACAAGTCCAACGCAGAAGGACTTCAACCTGATGTTCCAATTCTTGTACCACCAGATCGACCCAGCATACCGCTTCCAGAAGAACATCGACGCTGAAGTCCCGCCTTTACTGAAACAGATGCGATACCCGTTCGAGAAGAATATTTCAAAAAGTCAGCTTGCAGCAGTCGGAGGCAATAATTGGCACACATTCTTGGGACTTTTATATTGGATGATGCAGCTCGCGAAAATGATGGAGCAGTACAGTACAGGTATCTGGGACGATGCGTGCATCGAGGCTGGATTTGATGTTAGCGCTGATCGAATTACCTTTGACTTCTTGTCGGGAGCATACAAGGAATGGCTCTCCATTGAGGATGATGACGACGAGGAAGAGGAAGCAAAGAGAAGAATAGAACCACATATCCAAGCCATGGCAGTCAAGTTCGAGCAGGCCAATGCTGCGAATCTAGAACAGGTCAAGCAGCTGGAAGCGGAGTCGAAGTCGCTGCAGGACCAGATTGATGAGCTGAGCAAATCCGCTCCAAGATTAGCGAAGCTGGAGGAGACGATCAAGATTCTGGAAGAGGACAAGCAGAAGTTTGAGCAATACAACTCCAGCATGGACGCCAAGGTGGAGAAGTACAATCATCGAGCTGAGCTGCTGCAACAGGAGATTGAGAAGTGCGAGGCTGAAATGGCGGAGGCAGAAGCAGAACGGACTGATCTTCAGCGAAAAGTCGATGAGCAAGGTTTGTCGATACAGGACATCGACCGCATGAACAGCGAGCGAGAACGACTTGTGAAGGGGGTCGAGACGACACAAGCGCGATTGGAGGAAGCCAAAGAGAGAACAGCGCAGAAAGAATCTGAAACTGGCGCGAAGCTGGACGAGCTGGAAGGTAGCGTGCAGAGGTACAATGCTGTTGGATATCAGATCGGCATAATACCTGCGACCGCCTCGAATGCACACGGCAACGACTACGAGCTTCGCTTGCGAGTCAACGATGGTCCGGATTTCACAGCATCTGGAACAGCATCTCACGACTCCGACCGCCTCCTGCAAGATTCCAACAACGGCTATCAACCCCAGCACCTCTTGCCATCGCCTGATCTCAAAGCCACAAAGCGGCTACTCCAGGATTTGCGCAAAGAGATTTCCGAGCGAAGAAATGCCAGTTTAGAAGAAGACATGGCCAAGGTCGACATGCTCGATAAGACGAGGGAAGCGCTCGAAGATAAATTCGCAGAACTCGAGACCCTGAAGCATCGCGTTGGAGCTGCTCAAGAAGAATTTGAGAAGATGCGCGAAATCACCAGCGCGCAATCCATGGCTTCCGAAGCTCAAATCGAGAAGATGGAAAAAGAGCTCAACAAGATGCGCGCAACGCTAGGAGAGAGCGTGCAATTGATGGAGCAAAGGGAGATGAACGTGAACCTTGAGTGAGTACCAACCAACCAACCCTTGAAACGCAGCAGGCGATGAGATATGATACTAACCTGTGCTTGTTTCTAGGTACGAACAACTCACCTTCCGCGCCGCAGAGCTCAGAGAAGAACTGCACACCGAGCTCGAACGCATGATCAAATACGTCGTGGATTTCAAAATCCATATCCAGCAGAAGTTGGAGGAGTATGAAGATTTCGTTGCGGTGGAGCTTGAACATGAGTTCAAAGAAGCTGAAGAGGCTGAAGCGGGGTTGGGAGCCGAAGCTGATCCTGATGCCATGGAAGAGTAGGCTTGTGGTTTTGATGCTGATGCTTTAATGATGATGAGATCGTCGGTTGGCGTTGCTAGGGATTTTGGGAGAGATACCTCTTTGCGGAATTGTCGATATCGTTCTTTTAGAGGGCATTCATTGAGCATGTGCATCTTGGGCCATTCACGTGTTACGCCTTCGCCTTAGAATCCCTTTCCTGTGGCTTCCTCGTTGGTGCCACTGGGAGAGCCGCTAGATGGCCTTCAACGCGACTGCAACTTGCCGATGCCGGTGTTCTACCCTTCGACTACAGGGTGTCACTTGCGTAGAGGAGCCCGCTCTAGGGCGCCTTCTTTTCATGGCCTTCGGGGCACTGAGGTCTGCTCTCAAATGTACTCTCGCCAAACAGTGCCCAATAAAAGATTCCTACATTTGAAGACGAGGATGGCTGCGGTTCGCAATCCGTTCCCCCTGCACTTCTTGTGTGTACTGTAGGTGACACCCCGTAGAATCCTGCCTCATTGCGCTGTCTCGTTGGACAGATGGTCAGAACAGAAGGCATGCGTAGAAGTTGTGAAGCGCATAACTTTACGATCTGTCGTTTTCGCATGTGTGCCTTGGGTGTTCGAACGCAGCGTGATAATGGAATGCTGTGGCGGTATCCATTCTGTCGCATGATGTGGCCTCGTCGCAATGACAGTCAAGGTCCGGAAATGTAGCTCAAAGCTTCCGTTGGGATGCGTCGAAGAGATATATGCTTTCCTTCATGTATGCACTTTCACAAGTGGTGCATCTTCAGGTAGTCTTTCCCTTGTTGATTTTATGTAGCGCTCGATAACAGGCCCACGGAGACCGGCCCAGCTGAGCTGATATTTCTTTCGCGGTCTTGCCTTCTCTACGAAGCTGCAAGAGCTGCTCCCTGTCACTTTCACTCCATCTGAACCATCGAATTGGTCCGATAAATCTCTGCAAAGCCCCTCTACATGAAGCCGTTGATCGACCAGGTAGGTGCTCTGACATTTTGTTGCGAGGCACACCCTTTTCTGCCAGATCGCGCAACTTGTTTATCTCCGAAGGGCTCCAACGACTCGGGACGGTTCTGACAGGTCGGTTTCTCACTCCCATAGTAATTCGGGAGATAAAAGCAGTACTTATTCCGGGCCGGTCAGACATGGACTGTTGAATTTCTGGCAAAGACTTGCCCTGAGCGCATAGAAGCTTCATGCGCTCGATGTGCTGATCAGATAGGAAGTATTTCGGGTTGAAAGATCTTCCGCTCAATCGTTCGTACTGCAATCGATTGTGCACGCCACCTGGGCTGCGACCTATAGTCTTGCCAATGTAGGCACAGGATTTCCCTTCCTCGCGAAGAGCATTGGCGCGATCAAATTCCTCTTGTGTCCAAGGTTTCTTGGTGCGGTGCGGGAAACCCTTGCTTAGGCCAGCTTCCCGCCGTAGTCTTAGCACACGAGACTTGACACTTGCGCGAGAAAAGCCAAGTGTGGCCGCAAGGGCTTGGACATCACATTCCTTCAATTCATCATGCATCACGCTCTTCAGCTGACTATCCTCTTGCTCAGTCCAGAACCGCATGACTCGGGTTGCGGGAGCACTGCCCGTTCGACTGATCAAACGAAGCCTGGACAAAGTTGCAGTGTAGGAGCGCTGGAGTGCGACAGCAATGTCTCGAGGAGGCTTGCCTTGCTGATGGAGGGACGAGAGCAGTTCAATGTCTTCGGATCGCCATAGCTGTCCGTTTAAAGCTGCTGTATGGCTGCCGTGGGATTGCCGACGAAGACTGCCCTTAACGAAGCAGGATTTGGGAGGGAGAGAGGGCGCGTGGGTGGTGCAAATAGGAGCGAGGGCCGATGGGTTGACAGGGCGCGGGCGCGGGCGTAGTGCGAGTCGCAGAATTGGCAACATACTGGTGCTCTCGAGATTTGGGCATAGGAGGCAGGAGGCAGGAGGCAGTGGTTGAGAGAAACGGATAACGTTACAGTAAACATGAAGTCAAACCCGCGCCGAAAACCGGGGTCCAGGCTTCTTGGCATATTTATAGCCTGGTCCCTACTACTCTCTGAGTCTCTGCATTTTGGCTTCATTTTTTTCCACTCTAGGAAACGTGCCACCTACATGAATCATGTTTGCTGCAGAAACGTGATAATTAAATCCCCCACATCCACGGACCGTGTTCATTTCATTATCACCTATCCAAAGATTCCAAAACCTCCCATCCCAACCCCCATCAATCAAAAACACTCTTCCCATTATAAATATCCCCATACTGAACTTTCGCAGAATCATTAGCCTTATTCTCACGATAAACAGAAGAGAACTCCGAGAAAGGCCCATTATAGTCCTTCGCAATCCAATCGCCGTATAGGGCCTTCGAAGTATTGGACGCCTCATTGTTGACGTATTGATGCTTCAGCGTCTTGGATTGCGGGATGTCCTTGTCGCTGATATGAGGGGTGGCATCCACTGCTGGTGTCTGGAGTTGCTCGAGATTCGCAAGGTACACGGAGATCTAGATTCCATGCGTCGTGAGCTACTGATCGAGAATGGGATTGAAGGATGACCAACCTGAGCCGCGAGTCGATCAAGATCTGTGGAGTCTTGAACATTCAACGCATCCTCTAGGTCGAAGCAAAGGCGTTGAAGGGATTTCTTTGCTGCTACTGGAGGACCAGGGCTGATGACCTGTGGAGTTTTGGTCCACTGCTCAAAACGCATTTGAGCCTGACCGAGAGCTCGGGAACGTGTGAAGGCTCCATCGTGGTACAGAGCCATGAAATGGTTGTTCACCTGATCGATGAGAAGTCAACTTGTCTAGCTTCTATGAATCGTCAGCTGAAGTGCTAGAACTACCTACATCTTTGATGAGCCACTCAAGCTCCGTCACAGGTATCGTCTCAACAGCCATAATATCGAAATCTGTATTAAGAATGTCCCACTATTTTCGAAATAATCGCAGAGCGGAAAGGCTGTAGCAAACAAGAGCAGCTGAGGCTAGACTCACATTTTTATACTATCGGCGCTACCCTCACGCCATGCAGAGGCGGCCTCCTGCAAGAGGGTGGCTTAAGGCATGATATGCAGGGATCAGAATCCTTCGCTTCATGTGGGCGCTTGAGCTGTGGAGGCGATGCTGCTTGTCTTTCTTGATGAGAAATTTTGGGGAAAAGACGGCTAGGACAGGGGAAATAAGATGCTTGGTTGGCGACGCGAAAGGCTGAAACTTGCCAAGAAGAAATCCCGGCATCCCCTTAACCGCCTTCTGGGTTAAGTCCGACGAACTGTTGTACATATAAGATCTGAGTGACCTGGTTGGTCAGATCCGCTTTGCATAAGTACGCACTGATAGAATTTGTATGAGAAGTGGACTAGAATCCCAGTTTAACCGACGAACGCTCCGAGGCGACGAGTTAACCAAGGGCATGAAGGTGGCAGTGCAAGGCTTGCGGGCCAGGGAGCCGCCCGCTCTATCAGCTTGGACGCAGAAGTCAGTAGTGCTTTGCTCGTCAACATAGCTGACGAGAATAGTGTAATTGAGGTGTGAATGAAGTAGGGAAGCAAGTGCATAGCTAAATCCAGTCAGTATTATAATCCTCCACGTCTGCATGATCCCGAAACGAGCGTAAGCCATGTTCAGAACTACTGCTGCTTCATGCAATCTGGCCCTCACTCGGTGGTCTCCTTGTGAACAGCAGCCTCCAGGGCTCGTGGCGCAGGCATCACCTCATCATTATCTGCCTTCTCTTGATGAAGGCTTCCCGTCTCATAGCTGTCTTTAGGGGCATTATCGTTGCCACGAGCAGGCGCTTCTTCGATGCTATCCTGGGCCTCAACAGCATCACCAGTACCTGCCTCCCTGCGGATACGATTGATTTCTTCTGGTGGTGGCGCAATCCACTTCGATGACTTCCAAGGCAAGACATTGGACAAGAACATCTATAGATTGTCAGTGCCGATTCTTTGTCCTGTGGGGAATGTGGACGCTTACCGTGTCAATCTCTTCAAGAGTTCGACCTTGACCCTCGATGACGAAGAAGTAGACGATCAGTCCACCAAGTATATTGCAACCTGCGAAGACATAGCCATAGCGAAAGTCGATCGCGCCAGTAATAAAAGGCGTGAAGAAAGCAAGCAGGAAATTCCAAAGCCAGTTGGAGGCAGTCGAGAATGCCATGCCCTTGGCTCGGTACCTCGATGGGTAGATTTCGCCGCAAATTGTCCAGATCATCGGACCCCAGGTCGTAGCGAAACCGAAGATAAAGAACGCTGCCATGACGATCATTGCTGTAGCTGCCGACTCTGTCCGATCAGGCTGATCACGATCCAAGGAGAAATGCCCGACACTTGCAAAGATCAAGAACATGATGAACATCCACGTGCTACCGACCATCAACGACCTGCGACGGCCGTAGTGCTCGACAATATATAGACCATAGAATGTCGTGCCGAAGTTGATGCCATTCAAGATCATCTGCGTGACGAACGAGTTGTCGATGCCTGTGCCTTTGAAAATCACTGTCCCGTAGTAGAAGAAGTAATTGGCACCTATTGACCATGGTCATCGACCGTTAGCGAATGTTTCCGATAAACATGCGTCGTGGCCTTGCGCGAGCTTACCTGTCAACTGTTGGAACATCTGAAGGCCTATGCCAAGCAGGATCCGGTAGGCCATCTTGGGCGCGAAAAGCATTCGGTACCACTCTTGCAAAGCGCTGCCTTGAGCCTGTTCGGCGCGAAGCTTTTGCTCGATCTCCTCAAGCTCGACGTAAATGGTGTAATGATTGGCTGGTGCGCCATAGACGTTCATCATAGTCTGCTTGGCGTGCTCAGTCTTGCCTTTGCGATATTCATATCTTGGCGTTTCGGGGAAGGCAAGAATGCCAACGCCGAGTATCACTGCCCAGATAAAGCCGACACCCATGGGAATGCGCCAGGATGCAGCCTTATAGCGCTGATGCTCGTAGCAACCATAATTTATGCAGGCTGCCAAGAAGATACCGAAGGTGATGAACAGCTGGTAGCTGGAGATCAGCGCGCCTCGAATGTGTCTCTGGTAGAATCGAGTCAGTGAAAGTTGATTTGCGATCTAGACTGCTTCGTACCGGACCTGTCTCCGCCATGTACATAGGCACCTGAAGCGATAGCGCACCAACGCCGAAGCCCGCGACCAGACGCCCGAGCATCACTTGGTACCACTTGTCGGTGGCAGCAATTTGCACGATGGTGCCGACACAGAAGATGAAGCACCAGAAAGTGATCGTGTACTTTCGCCCTGCGAGATCTGCAAGAGGTCCACCAACCAGGGCTCCGGTCAAGGTGCCAATTGACAGCAGGCCAACGATGAGGCCAGAGCGAACATTGCTGAAGTAGTGCTCCCCGGCATGTTCTCCGCTAGTGTGCAATTGACCAAAACGTCGCTGGAAATCGGGCATACCCAAAAAGCCAGATATTTGACCAGTGTCTGGTAGATGGGTTAGTCATGGAAATACAGTTCACGCAAAGCAAGATGACTCGCCATAGCCAAAGATGAAGCCTCCCATAGAGATTAGAACGCCCATGTAGAAGGAAGCCCATGTTATGCGCGGCAATGGGCTGTAGTCCAGATCTGTCAAACTTTTCCTGCCATGTGTAGACTCAGTGTGACCAGGGTTGAACTGATCATAGTGAACATGAGTCGTGAAAAAGGCACTTTTCTCGAACTTTGGCACGCGAAACTTAGGCGGATTGACCATCTTGTCGAAGCTGGGGAATCCAGGGAAGGCCCACGTGGAGCAGAGGCAGTGTCTTCAGGAACAAGCAGGAAGTCAGAAAGTCAGATGCCCAAGAGGTGACGACAGATCTTATAGGTGAGTACGTAGCATCTGTTTTCTCCTCAATGAGATCGAGCATGTGAGCATGCCTAACCGATGTAACGACGGATGTCGACGGCATACCAGCTCTATCGGGGCAGCGCAATCGCTATTGGTGATCATACCACAGTGGTCTCGAAGAGGCAGTAAGCACACGAGGTCATCGTCCACGGCGCGTGATGGAGAGAAGATTGAAGCTGAGCCAAGCTTCAGGAGCCGGAATCGGCTGCTCGTGATGCCGGTGCGTTCTCAATGGCATGCATGGCATACAGATGTGAATTTTCGTCTGCATTTCTCGACAGCTGCCATTAACATCCGTCTGCGTACTGATTGCATGCCAGCGTTTGGACTCGTTCCCACGACGCACTCTTGGAGATCAATCGGCACAGTGGTATGCCCTGTATGCGCTTAGAATATGCATTGCTCATCGAAGATTACTGCGCAACACACCGGAAGCGGCGGAGTCGTGTTCGAGCTTGCAATACATGTCAGCTAAGCATCACTTGATCGCCAAAAGCTTCTCTGACGCAATTCTTCTCTTTTTGCTTCGCCTTCCAAGCTGACGGGTGCGGGCGAACAGCGTCCGTCTAGGCATTCCATAGAATATGCCACGATGTCTCGCATTGGGAAGTGGAGAGATGACCTGCATGTATATTTTGATGGAGCGAGAGATTATGATGAGCCAGGGATGATGTCTTGCGAATGCGCACAGTATATGATGATACCTAACGTAGGGCAGGAAGTAGGAGGCGGTGGTTGTTGGTTGTTGGTTGTTGCCCAGTGGATGTTGTGATCGGGATTTTCAGTGGGCTCCCCACTTTTTGATTATGTAAGTACTGAGTCATCCTTAGTCATCCAACGCCTGAACATTCGTCGCCTTGCCTCTCCCATTGTTACTCTGCAATGACCTCCTGCTCCTCCTCCGCCTTCCCATACTCTAACTCCGCCTCCACTCTCTCTACCTCACCCCGCGCCCGTTTCACCCGGCCGCCTTTTCGCTCCAGGTGATTGGTCCACAATCTACGTGGAGTAGGAGGCTTCCACCAGCTCAGCCTCGAGATTATTCTCTTCCCTCGCGCCTTAATCTTTTCGGTCAACGCTCTCGCCCTTGTGCGCCGCCTGTCTGATCGGGTGTCATGCTGAGATGAAACGACCTCCCAAACTGCCCTCATCTTGGCATGTGAGCAGAACTCAGTGTTCTTGTTGGAGGAGTTTCCCTCGCCGCGTCGACCAATATTGGCGGTGTCGTGGTTCCTCATGAAGTCGACAATCTCGAGCGCGATCGTCAGATCAGGCAATCTCGTGCCTGGATCCGGGGAAGGTATGCCACCTCCTGGCCTCTTGCCATCTATCACGCCAGTGACGCTGTCAGACTTGCCACGGCTCGACTTGCGGTGAATTGTTTCAATGCACTGTTTGACATCCAATTGCACCTCTTTGGCTGCGTCCTTCATTCTTTCCTGGATGGAAATATCGAGCTTTTCTTCCAGCTTTTCGCCCTCGCCATTCTGGATTTTTGCCTTGAACTCTTGGTTTAGCAAAGGATTCTCGATTCGTTCGCCGGTCAGCCATGGCACAAAGTAATCATAGGTTTCAAGCCTGGTCATCAGCTTCCACGCTTCATCTTCTCCCTTAGGCTGGCCTAATGTTGACTTCCAGAAAGGAGGGAGAACGCGAGCATGTATCTCTTCTCCCTTAGAAGGAGGCTGTATAAGTTCAATGAAAATTGGAAGCATCGAATAAACGAAGCGTACATCAAGGCCCATTTCCTCGGCGGTATTAGTAATGGTGACTCGCAGTTGGCGCTCCCTGGCCTGGTTCTTGGTATTAGAGCTCTGGAATTTGCCGCAGTAAAATTGGGCCAGTTCGACGAAATGGATGAGTTCTTTCTTCGTTAAGAACTCCTCCTTCTCGAGAGATGCTTCGACGTTTAGCTCGACCGCGACGCAGAATAGGAGGAATTTTCGCAGTAGCTCGTTGTAGGACGGCGTAGGCTTAATAGCAGGAGTCTCTGATGTTGACTTCGTCTTTAGATCGAGGCAAATTGATTCCAACGGGCCTAGCGAGGGGGTTCTCGAGTCGCGACGCCTATAGTTCTGAGCTTCAAGCGTAAGCGGTAGCGATAGTCTAGGGCCAAGCATGAACATGACTGTTAACGCGCAATGTTGACTGCATACCGGATTCTTTGAAGAGGAGGGTACTAGGCAATCGGGTGGGCAACCATTATGCGAGGGCGTGGGAGTGAAGTAGTCGGTTTTGTTGGACATGTTGGCTATAGTGATCGCAATGCGGAGATCTATTCTCTAACTTGTTTACTGCTTCGCAGATGTTCGGCGATTCCTGTGTGCGATGTCGCGCGCTATAAGAAGGAAGAGTTGTATATAGTAAAAGGTAGGATTTTGGACGTGACTGAAAAGGACAACCTCACCTGCAGCCTAGTAAGCTTCAACTAATTATGTCCTCATTCGCGGTGGATACACAGCCTAACCCACAGCCTTACTACGTTCTCAGGCTTTAGCACCCAATCACACCCCTTTGAATACACCTATAGGTCCCATTGCCGACACCCTTATACTTACAGCCGAAAAGGTTCGCAATCCCGCAGCTCTTCCCAGCAGTGAACTGTATTCCTCTAATCAACGCTACATCACTCGACAACCAAACCACAAGGCATACAACCAGTGCCCACATTATAAGCTCGCCAAGAAAATCTACCACGTTCGTAGCCTTGATGCGAAAAGGTTCCTAAATCTAGACCCGATTCTCGCCCGCATACCATCTCCGCGAACCCTCGACTTCTGCAATGTGCATATCGGTGTATACTTTCCTCGCACCAGATGCAACGTAAAGCCACTTTACAGCTTGTCTTTGAGACTCGAAGTCGTCGAACGTAGCGCTGATTAGTGAGATATCGACCGGGTATTGACGAGAGTTTGCCAAAATAGAGTGTCTGATATCGTTATTGAAGATTTTGGTTATAAGCGGCACGAGACCGTGGAGGATTTTCGATAGTCGTCTCCAGCAGTGCAGCGGGACCGATATTGGTGCGATAAAAGCGATGAAGGAGATCAAAAGCTACCCACGTTAGCTGCATACGAATTGCGAGAAGACTGGGGAAAAAAAACTTACCGCGAGAGCATTCAAGCATAGCAATCTCGGAAACAGAGCGATATCATATTTTACGGCTTCCCAGAGCTCGCTCAAAACTATAGGAAGACGATGATAGCCCCAAAGGAGCTCGGCGTGCAGGCTAGCGGCAATTTCTCCGAGCGTGGGAGGAGGTTTGCGTTTGTTGTTTAATGCCATGTTTAACTTGGCATGTTGGGGAAGCAATCTGGGGCAGAAAGAAAAGTAATTATGGCACAGTATGGAATCCTGCAGTCTTGCTTCACTGATGTTTCTCTCAGACTATGGCGTATACAAAGAGGAGTCACAGACCTGAACAGAATTGCTCTCAAACTCTTAATGAGATGAGACAGCGAATACCGGGAGGTGGATATACATTCTACTCACGCTTCTCATCTCTCTTGGAGCTTTGCATTTAGGAAGGGCAAGTTGAGACCCAAACGCCTTCGAGCTTGAAGTCCCCAATAAGAAAGCAAAAAACTTTGGGTGAACATAGACTACGCTTACCCTTTCCTTCTCGTTCAGACCTTTGCAGACAGGAAGAATAAGTTAAGATCTGGACAGCTTCGCTCTTACGTTCTCCGATGAGACGGCGAAAACATTCAGGTGAAAATGGACACGATGCACGCTTCTTATCTCCAGAATTCGAGCTCCTGCTCATTCCCCTGGCTTTCTGCCTATAAGCTCCGCTCTCAGTTCTTCACTAACATAGCGAAACCATCCAGGTAAAAATAGACTCCACTCACGCTTCCCGTCGTTCAAAACCCGAAGTCCTGCTTACGCTTCTAGATTTCTACTCCTGCTCTTCGCCTCGAGTTTCCCAACGAGACAGCAAGCCCCGTTAGGTAGGTATAGACTCAACTTACACTTTCCATTTCTTAACACCTATACTCCTGCTCGTGCTTGTAACTTTCTACTTACGCTCTTGGCCCTCAATTTTTCTTAAAGATCGCGGAATCTAGTAGGTAAGCAAAGACTTTACTTTACAAAATTTTACGAGACTAGAAGATGTTTGTAAGAGGACTAATCGGCCGTCTCTACGAGCTAGGTATATATCTCGGGGAGCTTGGTGGCATCGCTGACAAGTAGCATTGTGGGCGAGATGCGCAGCACAGAACCTGTAGGGTGCGTCAGGCGATGCACCTATGGCAACATCCTTCGTTGCCTTACCATGACGCCTGTGCAGCTCCGCTTCGACCTGAGACTCGTCTTCTTTCAGATTGTGGTAAGCAAGCCATAATCTGGTCATCGAGGCCCAGAAGGGTCCTGGAAAGCTCCGAAGAGGTGAGAGGACGCGGGATCGGATGTACTGCTCGAGAACGGCAGCAGCAAGAAGGATAAGGGGAGCTATATAAAGTGAGTGCAAAGCGAGCACAACCGTGCTGTCGGCCATTATTGGAATGTTTGCAGCGAGAATTTGCGCTCGTTCAGCAGTTGCGGGCGGGCGCAGTTGAAAAGAGATGGCAGCAGCAAAGGGGGTAAAGCGGACTGATCGCTGTCACATATGCATGAAGCTCTTCGCGTAGCATGATACAGTCGCTGACAAGTCCATGTGTGGTTGTAGTGGACGCCAATGCAGAGGCTGGTCCAGCTCCGAGCGGAGGGCATTATATCCTCGCGTTCTCACTGGGCAGAGGTCTTGATTTGAGCTGGGCACGAGCATGGGTCGTATATTGAGGTGCATATTCTACTGCGAGGCGGAGTTGGAGGAGGTGGTGTCGGCGGGAACACAAATCCTGGCGTCCTTGGCGACGGCGATGACCCTCGAAAGCCAAGACCTTGTCTTCGAACGTCGCGTCGTTCTTTCCGCCTTTTCTTTTACTGAACGAGACCTCCAGTGCGGGAAGTCTATGTACTTGAAGCGCTGTATCTGAAAGAATCGATTCGCACGGTATGAATATCGAGATGGAATCGCCGAGTCCAGGGCATAGGACAGCCCAGCCGTGAATCAAGGAGGTGGTATGCAACACACACACACACTCGTGGGAACAACAACCTGTATTATGGGACACAGCCATGGACTTACACATCAGCGCTTCATCATCTCAAGCTCAGCATCAGGCCATGATCGGGCTGACGAATGCCGACGATGCTGTGCCATCGCAGCCGGGATGAAGCGCTATAGTCATTGCTGCGAAGTTGAGCCATGTGCAACAGAACAGCTGCAAAGTGAAGCTCACTTTTCCTCGGTCTGTCGAATCACTGATACACTCGGCACCATCACTCTCACACTATTCAGCTACCATGGTACACAACAGCAGCAGACGCGGCTCTAGAGCTAGACATGACATCGAGACTACAGCGCCCTCAAAGCCCATTGAGCGCATGCAACGCGCTCGCAAAGAGAAGGACGAGTCAGAAATATTCCTCCACATATCTGTCGAGCGCAAGGACGATCAAGAAGTGGACACCGGGTTTGTGTGCTTGGATAGCACCTACAATATGGACATCGCCGTCTATACGCTCAATGAAGACGTGCGGTGGCCGAGAGAATGGACGACTTGAGCAATCCGGAAACGCAAGGAGCGAGAAAATCATACTTGAGTTGGCACCTCCAGACTCTTCGGCTACATGTATCAGCCGAAGCTATCAAGCATACGAGCCACCGTTATCTGCAGAATGTGCATGCACCTGCTCACCATGGTTCCCAGCATGAACATGCCCTCCTTATGACGACCTTGCTCAGGTTCTCCCGAAGAAATTTTATCACCGTCTCCGCACCCTTCAGCCTCCTCCTGATACACCCGCAAAGCCCTCACGCTCCAATACGCCTCCCGAAACGCCTCCGGATGATCTCTCACCCAATCTTCACACGTCCTCCCAGTCTTCGCCGCACAACTAGTATTCCCATGCCCGTACTCTGGCGGCCAAGTACTATTCACCGACACACTCGTATTCCACTGCTTCCCTCCCGCCCAACCCCCACAAAATGTAATATCAAAAACAATCGAATGATTTTTGAAGTTTTTTCCAATATCACACGTCAGATCAAATCGACTCAACGGTAACCCCCAAGTTTTCGGATGCGGGAACTTTCCTAGTGGTCCGTTGATGTCTTCTCGAACGCTATGTCGAGGGAAGAACCAGATGGAGATGTGGTCGTGTGTCCATTCTGTGGCGTAGATCCCGCCTTTCTTCGGTAGGCCTAGTAGTAGGCTCTTTAGTAGGAGGCACTTTAGTAGGTGCTTTAGTAGGCACTTTAGTACGGGTGTACAGCGAGTGTAGAGAATTTCTCCGGAATAGGGGTGAGTATATGATGTTCTGTTCTTGAGGAAGCAACCTGGACCGGTATGGAGGGACATGCGGTTTGCGCGGAATTCGTTGATGCCTTCGATGATGTCGATTTCGCCGCCATTAGGCCAGGATGGGTTGTAGGTCCAGAATGCTGGCCTGTTCTTACGCTCAGTCAAGCTTTGTGAGAGTATTTTTATGGCATGGCTGACCACACTCCGCAGATACTTCCTGGAATGTGATCTAGATCGACCACGATGAGGCCATGGTTATACGTCTTCTTGCTCTCGATGCGTACACTTGGCCGTCCAACCGGAGCGACCACATCGCTGTCGGCTCTTATACTTGATGTAAACTGTGATGTATTCAGAAGAGGGCTAATCTATCCGTGGCTTCCGTTCCTGCCGCCACCTCTACGAGGTGGTTGCAAGCCACCTTATAATCTCCACTTTTTCGACAAGTTACATTATAATATAGGTAGATTGGCACTAAATCGAGCAAACAAGACCTGTAGAATATAATGAAGACCTCTACATATAATATGGACCATTAGGTAGTGTTGTAGGTCTACTATATTGCTGTGTTTGCTTACTATTCTTAGGTAATGCTAGGGAAACCGGCTATAGCGAGGAAACTGGCAATGGTGGTAACGACCTAATAGGCAAGTCGCACCTACTAGATAGACTACGTAGTGGTATAGCAGGCTGTATATGCTGCTAGACAGGTATTAGCTCATCGTCGTTACTTAGTCTACTGCTATAATCGCTGCTATCTATTATGCTATTGTCTCTTCTAAACTGCTTTATTAAGCGCTTCTTAGCCGCCTGCCTTATAGCAACTATAGCTTGTTGCTATCTACGCTCTTCTTCCTTATAAGTCTAAATAATAAGCTTGTATAAGGGCTTAAGTA